ATTCAGTGTAACAATCTTGTCAGGCATATTTACAACAAAAATCAATTTATGACATATTAAAAGACTAATTACGTTCACCCCAAATACTAATTAGTTGTAATTTTACATTTTTAAAATTTGCCACTATCCTAGGTTTTGCCCATTTGTCAGTAAGAATTTTTTACTCATTTAAAATACAATAAAATTTAATATGCTCCCTTATTCTTTTATATATTTTAATATGTACACGTCAGAATAAGCATGTTGTTTGAATTTTTACATAAATATTGTGTTACACTGAATGACAATGTAACATTATTTTGAAATTTTATTCTCCAAAAACCTTAAAAGTAGACACTTTACTTATATTTAATGTGCTTTCTATGGACATAAATCACTTTTGTAAATTTCTTTTGATGCGGACATCTTAATGTCTTTGACCCATGTACATGAATAGCATATAATAGATAAATATAAACTTATATAACAGACAGAGTGAAGGAAACACACACACACTCACACACTCCAGTTCCTCTTAAATACGCTCAAATCTGCCCAGCCCACACATGTGCTGCACTACCTGCTGCCAAAACAATAAACTCATCCAGACCCAGAGAGATCATTGAACAATACAACGACAGTTTCTACCCACACACACACACACACACACACACACACACACACACACGTACACACACGATCCATCAAACAAGTACTACACAGGACGGTATCGCTGGCAAACACCACACAACCACCCACATTACACACCATTTAAAAGCCCTCACACACACACACACACTCAGGAAAAAACCCTCCATTACATCAAAGGGCGGAAAAAAGCAGCTTGTCATCTTTACAGCATGTGAGTACAGACAGAAATGTGTGGGTACAAAGACAGAGATGAATAATAGAGGATCAGCTCCAGAATCCAGTCAACTCCTACAGACTCCAGTTTTAGACAGCAGAGGTGATTTCAATACTTTCAGCTGATTATATTCTAACACTGTATACATCACGTATGCTATCAATCATATGTAAAAAGTGAGAGAAATTAAATTTGTTACATTTAGAATTTACACTACAGTTCAAAGGTTTGGGGCTGGTACATTTTTAATGTTTTTGAAAGAAGTCTCTTCTGCCCACCAAGGCTGCATTTATTTGAAAAATACAGTAAAATTTGTGAAATATTATTACAATTTCAAATAAATGTTTTTATTTGAATATATTGTAAAATTAAATTTATTCCTGTGATGCAAAGCTGGATTTTCAGCATCATTACTCCAGTCTTCAGTGCTATATATATTATATTTAATAAACTTTATTTACATTTTTTTTTATTTTAAATATTGTAAATAAAAATACTGTTTGATTGGACTGACAACCTTTGACCATATCATAATGCGGTGTGTTTTCTCATGCTTGATGCTTTGGCTTCTTTTTAAAACTACTTTCATTGGCAAAGAAAAAGTCCAAACTAACTGGCCAATTTCATGAAAGTAGCATTTTCAGAGCAGAACCTACCATGGTGTTTGTTTGTTTGTGCGATTCTTTCATCACTCACCCAGCCATCCGGCTCCAGAGTTGGGCACACACATGTCCGTCTCAGCGCTGGGCAGCACAAACCCCACAACGAACACCTCCACCCCGTCAGACATGAGTGCCAGGCCCAACACGAAGAACAGCTGCCACTGGAAGCGTCCGTGTCCACACTCCTGGATGATGAGCTCGTACTGCTGCGCCAGCTCCTCCTCATCTGCCTCTCTCTCCTTCTCCAGCTCTCGCTTGTCCTTCATTCCATCCGTCAACAGCTGGCCAATCGCCACCTGGCCACGCCCATCCATGGCCCCGCCCCCAGCAGGCACGCCCTGGTACTCGCCCTCGTATATTTCGTCTTCGTCGTCGTGGCCCTCGGTGGCGTCGCTGGATCCCTCGTCATCCTCTCGCTGAGCCTGGCCGTGCTGATAATTGTAACAGTCTTCGTCGGCGCCCTCGTTTTCGTCGTTTTCAAAGCGGCTGTAGCTGCGGCCGGAGTATTCGTTCGAAGCATGGTCCACCACTTTGTTGACCTTCTTGGCGGCGTGGCGTTTCGCCTCCTTGGCGATGTCACGAGCGCCTTTGACCAGAGATGTCCTGTCTCTGTACGGGTCCTCCATCTTGGCAGAGTTCAGCTGTTTGGCTGCAGAAGTGGATTCCACCAGTCAGGAATCAAACGTGAGTTTCAGAGGACGAGATCAGCGTCACTGTGGGTCAGTCGAGTGGTTTGGAGAAAGACAGCAGTGGACAGTAGAGCGTGACGTGTGCGGTTCCTTCTGACGGACAGCTTCATTCACTCAGAGGGGAAGGGAACTATGGGGAGAAGAAACAGAGTCATATTTTTATTATCTACTAGGCACAAATTTAAATTTAATTCGACATATATATATATAGACAGAGAGAGAGAGAAAGAAACTGATTTTTTTATTATATATATATATATATATATATATAAAATTAAGTACAAAAGTTACTATTTTAAAATAAATATCTAAATAAATATAAATAATACATTTATTTTAAACTAAATAAAAATTAATAAAATTAATAAAAAATAATTACATCTTTTTAATTTTATATATAGGTAAATAGTAAATAAAAATTAGGATGATAAAATAAATTTATAAATTGATAAATGAACAATAATAATAAAAAATGAATTATGAATGAATAAAATAATTTAACTACACACACATATTTAATTACCAGAGACATTTTAGTGAGCAACCTTGTACATAGACACAAACATATATATATATATATATATATATATATAATTTATCATTCAAATATGTGTCAATATAAAATTAACTTGTATTATTTTTTTCAAGTTTGTTTCTGTCTGTCTGACTGTCTGTCTGTCTGATCTATCCACACACAAATCAAAGAAAATCAAATCTAAAAACTTTCAATTACTATCAAATTTCAGTCTACTTCAGGTCTGAATTAGTTGGGTATTTTTGGTTTTAACTGAATAGCTGTAATTGAAAAAGTGAAAGCATTGCAGATCTCAGGTGTTCATGTGCCCTGCAGAAACACAGGAGTGCCATGAATCAGGCCGGCACAACGGGCAGAGGACAGAGAGCCCAGTTTAACCGCATTCACAGCTCCGCTTCACACTGTTCACCTCCACAGGAAGAGATGTGGACGTTACAGGACACTGACACTTCACACACGTGTGTATCGCTGAAGGATGTTCTCAGGATCTCTCAAACATAGAAGAGCCCTGCTGCATTGCAGCACCATTCCTCTCTCCAGCAGAAACATACACACTCATCTCATTTTATCTCCTCACATCTGAAAAATAAACACACACACTCGCTTCTCTGACCCAAGTAAACTCAGTGAATCTCTTTGAAAATGATCAGTCTGTCTCACACGTACCAGATATCTCTGAGAAGAAAACCAGAGAATATAACAGAGAATATTCCATCTGTGATGAAGACGTCCACAAAAATTCTATTAAATTCCAGAGTAAGGCGCATCAATACAACAGTACAGTCTGATCGGTACTTTCCTTCCACTCCAAACACTTCCAGATGGTTTGGTGCATCACACAAAGGCTCTATTCTATTCTATTCTATTCTATTCTATTCTGTTCTATTCTATTCATAAGAGAATTAAGGTTACAGTTAAGGTTCCAAATAGAACCAGAACATTCTAAATCATAGAAGAATCTTTTGAAGTTCCAGAAAGAACTTTTTATTTTCTTTAGTTTTGGTGTTTTAGTCCCTGAAACCAAAACACATTAAAACATTAAGAAACATTTCTTTATGTATAATATAAATGCAATAAATAAATTTTTTTAAATTATTTATTAATTTATTAATGAATCCTTCTGTCACCAAGACAAATTCCTTGAGTGAGCAAACATAATTGGCAATAAATCTCATTCTGATTCTTATTATTAAAAAATGTGATTCCTCAACGATTAATTTTTTTTTTTTGAGTCAGTTCTTTTTAATGAACCCGTTCACAGACTCTAAATCAGGGGTGCCCAAACTCGGTCCTGGAGGGCCGGTGTCCTGCAGAGGTTAGCTCCAATCCCAATTAAACACACCTGAACCAGCTAATCAAGCTCTTATAGGCATACTAGAAACTTACCAGCAGGTATGTTGAGGCAAGTTGGAGCTAAACTCTGCAGGACACCGGCCCTCCAGGACCGAGTTTGGACAGCCCTGCTCTAAATGCATGGAAAAGTTTTTGCTATGGAAAAGCATAATCTTGATTAGAATATTCAGCATTGTCATTTATTAAAACCGATTTAAAAGATCAAATCACAAGGTTTGGGAACACATGAAGACATAAAACAACAAATGAATTATATATATATATAGACACTGATAATATTTAAAATTTTAAAAAGTTGCAATTATGACATTATAGAACATAATTTTGGCCTTAAAAACAAACAGAAAAAATGTTAATACCCTAAATAGTTGAGTGGATTGAGCCACAATAAATTATATTTATATTCTGAATAAAACCAGGATATATAAAGAGGATAAAGAGAAATAAGATTAAATTCAAGGTTCCAAAGAGAACAGAACATTCTAAATCATAACAGTTTAAAAGTTTAACGTTTAAATAACTTTTTAGTTCCTCTCTGAATGAAGTCTCTGATTGCAAAACACTGAAACATCAATAATCATACAGCAACTCAAGAACAATATACAGACTGTACATACTGTACATACAAGAGGATTTTATCATTTACCTAAAAAATAAGTTGTTTTGGTTGTAGAATTAACTTTGGTGAAACAGCACACTGTAAGCAGATAAAAGGTGCAGTTCTTGCGTTATTATCTTTGGACTAAAACAAAAACAAAAACCTGAAAAAATGTTGCTGCATTGCACATCTCAAATTACGTGTGACTATATGATATACACACACGTGTGTGTGTGCGTGAAAAACATATCTGATGCATCTGAAAGTCCATAACCTGGAAAAGCTATAGATTAAAAGACTATTAAATTAAAAGTCTATTAAATATAATAAAATATCATATTTCCGAAAGCACAAAAGCTTCACCTCAATAGGATGTATTTGACTTAAAATACATATGTGGTTCACCTGAATAAAAGTGAATCATTCTTCTCATAAAAATGGTAAATGTCAAAGGAGCAGTTCAAGCAAACACACAGGCTAATGCAGATGTGCAGGTTAAAACTGGTCAACACAGTGGGATTTCAACTAAAACCCCCATAAAAGGTGAATTGAAGGTAACAGATGGTAATACTAGGGTATTTTGAGAACTGCTGTGGTACTGAATGATTGCCATACATACAGTGGGTACGGAAAGTATTCAGACCCCCTTAAATTTTTCACTCTTTGTTATATTGCAGCCATTTGCTAAAATCATTTAAGTTAATTTTTTTTCCTCATTAATGTAC